TATAATTCTAAACAAAAAATAAATTTTTTTTTTATATTATAATTTTGCCTGCATTTAACTTTTTGCATTCTTTGATTGCAGTTATCCATTCTGTATGAAATATTTGCGGTACCCCATAGGACACCCCACAGTTCTTCACGGAGACGAATGTCCGCCAATTTCGGACATTAACGGCCTAGTGCATTGCAAAGTGCTGCCACCTGACAACCTGTGCTTCCCAGTGCTACCAACAACTGTGAACGATAAACTCATGTTTCACCTCTGCTCAACATGCGCCGAAACGCGCAGGCGCGGCGATTGTCCTCACAACGATGAAGAGCGTAGCATAACTGGGACATGGGTGTCCATTGAACTTCAGCTTGCACTCAAATTTGGCTACAAAATAATGGAGGTCTACGAGTGCTGGCATTATCCTAACACGGCTATGTACAGTGAGTTTGAAGAAGGTCTTTTCTCCGAGTACATCAACACCATGCTCAAAAGAAAACAAGAGGCCAGTGGTTGGCCGAAAAATGTGGTCACCGAGGATCAGAAGTGGGCCTACATCGCACAGTATGAACTCTTGGAAAATATCAAGCTGGACTATGACAACATTGGCGAGAATGAGGTTCTGCGCACCGTGACCAAACTTCTGCTTAATTCATTATGGGTATAATATATTTTTCCTAAATTCTAAATATTTCAAAAATTTTAAAATATTTCTTAAATATCTCCAAATATTTTTATGGCCTTTTTAATGCTCTTCTTATGAAAAGAATAAAATTTTTGTACAAAAGTGTGTATGCAAAATTTGTATTTTAAAACTAATTTTTTCCATTTTTTGTTCCAGGGCAAATTTGGCCAGCGACCCTCGATGCCAAGGACGTCAATTATCTCGGAGCCACACGAAATGCTGAGACTTTTCGAGGCGCCAAACGTCAAAGTCAAATCTCTCGCTGAATTCGGCTCAGATGCTAATCACCCACGAGGCAGTTGAGGAGAGCGACGAGTCGACCACCACGAACGTTGTTGTTGCAGCCTTTACCACGGCCCATGCACGTGTCATGCTTTACAACCTCCTACACATCCTGGGCGAACGCGTTCTATATTTCGATACTGGCACGTTGAATAATTAAAAATATGCGTAATTTATATTTAATTGATTGCTTTTTCATTTGCAGATAGTGTCATCTACTACGAGGATGAGAATGACCCTATTTTGAAATGTGGATCAGCGCTAGGTAAGAATAAGCAGTGTTTGCCTCTGTGATATATTAATTATAATTATTTAAAACTAGGTGAGCTGACTGACGAGATTGAGTCTTATGGCCCTGGAGCAGAAATTGAAGCGTTCGTCAGCATCGGCCCAAAATCCTACATCCTTGACCTTGGTGCTCATGGTGAGATTCGAAAGTTCAAGGGAGTGACCCTCAACTGGGGCAACCGCGACAAGACTGATTTCAAGACAATGAAAAGCCTGGTTGACGGCGAGATAGACTCGGTCACCCTAAACTTGGTCAATAAAATTGAGCGTAGTAGTGACTTTAGAATTTTTACTCGGGGAAATTCTACAAAAACAAATCGCCTTGTTGTCGACAAGCGTGTGGTCGAGCCTGACTACAGCACCTATGCATTTGGCAGAAAATCAACCTCTCCTGAGGTAACTCCTGACCCTAGCATTCTGATTGAAAACTGGTGTATTCGTGATTTCTTAGACAAATAAACAAAAAATCATCTCAAAAAACTTTTGTTGCTATTTAATTTTAAATATTACCTACATGCTAAAAGGATTTGTTTGAGAAAATAAAATTTGAATTTACATTTAATTTTTTCTATTTATTGAAAATATAAAAACCATTACATTACATGATTATATTAAAGTTTTTATTTAATAATAAGTATAAAAGTAAGAATATTGAACGCTGTTTACATGGTTCCAGCAAGATCATATATACAAAACAATTTCATTTCCATAAAGGCCCTGGTAACATCCAGGTAGCACTCTTGTCTGGGTACATAATTCAGATCCTCAATTTTTACATTTTCTAGAAACTTTTCAAACTGCTTCATATCAGTGTGATTTTCTTTTTGGCCTGGGAAATAGGCCTTACAGTATGCACGCAGAGATTCGTACAATTGTTGAGCATCAATGGTCCACGTCTCTCGTTCTTCAAACACGCGATGCAGCAGATCAATCATAGCAGCCAGATAGCTCCAAGTTTGCTCTTGAATGGTGACTTTTCTGATCTCATTAGTATTCACCTCAGTGGAGAAAGTCAAAACCCGCTTATTGTACTGAGTGTGAAATTCAACAATACATTCTGGCCCCAAATTAACAACTTTTCCACCGTCATGGTGGTCAGTAAAATAGTCATTTATGTATTGCAACGAATCGCACAATGTTTTAAAAGCATAATGTGGGAGCTTGACCCCAGGCTTGCCTGTTTTAGCCAGAGTTACAGAGGGTAGAAACTCGAAAGCAGGGTCCATGGCAACAATAACCTGCTTGCTGGCTGAACGATTGGCTGGATACACGCACCTCATGATGTCTCGGGTCTTGTCAAAGACCTCGTAGTCAGACTTCTTGGTTTCCTTCTTGTAGGGCGTGTATCTGTCTCCCTTGGGGCCGCCTTGAGGACAATGCTGCATGGCCTTCTTCATGTACTTGTATGGAATTGGAGACACAGGACGGCTGTAGTAGCCCTTTGCAGGCCAACTATCTGGAATGTCAGCCTCATAGTCAGCCAGAGGTGTGTAAGTTTTCTGGTGAGGGCGAGCCATGGTGCGATGTGAGCTGGTGGCCTGATGGTTAGCGAGTGATCCTCTCCTCAGAAACCTCTCCTATCTATATGCCTTACCCCCTCCACTAACTGAGCGACAGCATGAGTCACTATTTCATCATTTTTTTCAAGACTTTTTGACCAGAAACTACTACCCAGATTTTTATTCAGAATCCCCATGCGTGCAGCAAGGAATAAAATAACATAAAAACCACAAACTTCTGAATGCAGTTGCTGGTAGCAAGTTTTATTGTATTTCAACTTACTTTTTGTTATACGTTTCAAAAATTTTATATGATTTTTTACAAATGGTTTGCTTCCATAAGAGTCAAAGTAATACACAACGCCTCTCTTACTAACATAAATGCCAAGCCAATGGCCTAAAACTTTATTGGAATTTTCACTATGCACTGCAATTGCTGCAGGTTTTTTAAAGTTCCTCGGCAAACGGTCAGCAGGAAACACACCAACATAATGTTTTTCTTTTGCAACACGTTGTAAAAGCTTCAAGGCGTCATCAAGTTCTCGGCTATCCATCCCATCAGAAATCTGGCACTCGTCTCAGCACAATGGGCAGTTGGTTTGCTGTGAAGATCGCAAGCAGGACCAATATTTTGCTTACGGATGCTAGGGCAGCCAAAGTCGGTCAGATCTTCAACGGGTCGAGCAAGAATCTCAGTCAGATACAGAGCTTTCTCACGTCCTTTGGTGTAGATTTTGTTGAAAGGTAGGGTCTGGTGGTAGAGCAGGTAGTGCAGGTCAGAAAGATTCACGTCACCGCCGTACCAGTCCAAGTTGTGGTAGTTTCTGGTTGCCCAACCCACGAGGGTCCTTTCTTTGCGGTGAAGATTGCACAGGGGTACGGGTGGTTTCACAAAGAACTTGTAGAGACCCTCAGGCGTGCACACGGCAACTTCTTTCGGTACAATTTTTCTGTTGAAGTTCTGGTACCCTTGAAGCTCGATGACACAAGCCATATTGAGGTGCTTGCTGGCCAAGGAGCGTTTATATACTGAGTATTTTACACTACATCCACAGAGATTTATCTATTTTGGAAGACGAAGAATTCTTTGTCAGCAAGATCTGGTGCCAGCGTCGTATAGTCGGTCTTGCAGCCGCCATTGATGAGCCAATTTAGTATGTATTTAGAAGATCTCTGGGCACACTCTGCTTTTGGATCAGAATGCATCTCACAGGCTGGCTCAGGAATTGCATGGAAATCAGGGCAAAACATGGCTTTTACATCCAGAACCTCACGATTCAACACACGCGTCAAATATTCAGCATTTCTTGCACCACTCGTGTAAACTTTCTCATAATGCTTGGTCCTTGTTTGAAGAAGATACTCCAGGTCATTGTTTCCAAATTCACCCTTGTCCCAGATCAGCTTTGAAGAAGCGATGACATCAAGGGCTCGGAAGTAGTAAGAGTTGCCCATTCTGTTTAGTGGATTGGTGCGAAAAGTGAAGACCCTTAGTTGATCCGTGCCAGCAAGAGCCACTTCTTTGGCAATATAGTGACCTTTACCAGTGTGGAACCCCTGCATTTCAATCACAACAAACGCCATTTTGCGAGAGAGGTGTTGCCTGAGAGACTGGACTTGAAGCACTGACATTTTTGTACACTTGCACGTCACCACATGTCACCTCCCACCACTTTATTCATAGATGTGAAACAATTTGTTCGCAACCTCATCAAGCAACTTGTTGTGGTCAATATCATTTTCACCTTTCAGAAGCCAGTTTAAAATATATTTTGCTGAACGTTTGGTGCACGGCGCTCTACTGTCTGTGTGAATCTCACAAGCTGGTTCGCCGGTGGTTAGAAATTCAGGGCACCACATTCTTTTTACATCCAGCACATCACGGTTTAGAACCTTGGTCAAGAAATCTGCGTTTCTTTCACCATTGGTGTACACAGCATCATATTTGATTGTGTACTTGTTGAGAACATACTCAAGGTCTATGGCCATCTGGGTCCCCTTGTTCCAGTCAATCTTTGAGTAACGAAGAAACTCACGGGCCAGGTACTTGTGTGAATACGGAAGTAACTCGTATGGTACTTCTGGTCGGAATGTTAAATGGCGAAATTCTTCATCAAGGCTGCCAGCTATAGATGCCTCCTTTGGTTGGAAGCCATCGTTGCCATCATAGAAACCAAGCAGATCCACCACAACAATACTCATCATGATTCTTGAGTAGTAGCAGGAGGAGGACAGAGGTGCGTGCAGCTTGCTCGACCTTATTTTTTGAACTGAATATGTACACTCCTGGACCTATCGATCTCGATGCAGTCAGGGAACTCTGCATAAACAATGAGGTTGACCACGCATGGGAGGGGCTTAGCAAACCCAAGCTCAAGGCGACAGCTGCCCTGATTTTCAACAGAGACGTGTGATTCGCAGCTGCTCAAGTCTCCAGTCAAATCATAGCAGTAGAGGGCGTAACCTTTGTCAAAATCTTCCCTGTCCACCTCAAAGCCATCGTCAGTCATATGAATGCCGACGCCGTAAAATGAAAATAGATAAGGTAGAATACTTTTTCCTCCTTCAAAGTTTGGCTTGTAAGGTGCAGCCCCAACCGTTTGCCCATTGACACTCAGTGCAATATAATTCATGTCAAAGTGTTCAAAGTTGAACGGGCTCTCTGTGTAGCTGCCAGAAAACGCGCTATTCTTTACCAACCCGAAAATTATTCTAGAAGGGATTCTGTTCAAAAACAAATTGTCCAAGCATTTCTGGTGCAAGCCTGAAGAAATTGTAAAATTCAACATCTCCACACGTTTGTAGTTGTAACGTGCCACCGCAGTCTCTAAAGTCTTGGCGTGTGCAACCAGGATACCAGGATTGATGTTCACTTTTCTGACGTACAAAACCGCTTCTTGAATATCAATTTGAGGTACAATTTTTGAATCTTTGCCTGTGAGAAGCACCATACTTGCTGGATTTCTAGTCAAAGTAACTCTCAAGTCAACATCATTGATCAAGTATTTGCCCACAGCAAGCATGTCACAGTGCAATTTTCCTATAACTTCAACCTCTTTGCCGCCAGTAACAAAAGATTTTCTTTTTTTGTTGGGTTCTGACGTTAAATCATTAAAAGCCCCAGCAGTGTCTTGATAAAACAAAGCACTGGTGAGGTGAGTTTTCTTTGCCGTAGCGTTAAAATTGTACAAAAGCTCAAAATAGCTTCTGTAGTGATTCATGTGATTAGAGTTTGATACGGCCATTTGATTAAACTCTAGCTTAACATCAGAAAACATGGTGTTGAGAACATTATTTTTCAGAGAAAATTCAGCAGTTGCATCCAGTTTATCACTAGTGACAGAGTCTGTAACCTTGAAGCGAACGTACAGCAGAGTTTTGTTCAAATCAAAGTAGTTTGAACCTTGACCAGGCACAAAAAACTGAATCGGACCATCTTTTGTAATGGCCTGCACTGGCTGGTAATTTTGCCAGTCTCCGCTGAGCACACTAGTTTGAATAAGTGTTGGCGCAAATATATCCAACTCTCCCACCATCAACTCCATAGCGTCTTTAGACATATTTAGAAACCAAAAATATCAGTTTTACGAATTCTTCTTGCGGTGGTAGTTTTATTTTTTGCTTTTTGTATCGCTGTTTTCTTTTTAGTTGTTGTTGACGTCTTTCTCGGACGCTTCGCTGCAGCTGAATGACTGCGGCTACGCGCTATCTTTCTTTTATACCCTAAACCCAGCATACTTTGAATTTGCGTGGATGCTTTTCCTCCTAGGTTTGTGCCCGCGGTTGTGACTCGTTCCTTGATGCTATTCTTAACATCTGCTCCGTTGAGAGTATCTCTAAGAACACCGACGCCAGTGTTAAGAAGCTCAGAACCAAGAGCAGCAGCGCCATTTTTAACGTATGGCAAAATCTTCCTGAAAAGGTTTGCGATGAACGAACCGACCCCGTTTCCTCTTTGCAATTTATACCCCTTAAAAGACCCACCAACACCGCGGCCCTCGGCCTGGGCGGCGTAGTAGTCGAGGTATCTTCCAAGTTCATTATTCATTACTAGTTTTTCTAAAAAGAAGTATCGCCGTCAACGTGCCGTGCGTAAATGATGCTTCAGCACCACCATCATCCTTTATATAGATATGCAAATATTCAATCTTCTTTTTTGCCACAGGTAGAAAAACAAGCTTGGCGAATTCCACCTTGCGACTGAAACCGTGCTTGTATCTTTGGGCATCAGTGTGAACGGTTCGCAGCACGCGACTGTGTGTGTTGTTGAAATGTTGTTCAGCAACTATATCTGTACAAACAGTCAGAGTGCTACTCAGGCCTTTTCTCAGATCAGCTTGAATGTCTGATTTCTGAACGGACGCACCGCTCAAAACTTCAGCTGAATGCGCGTGACTTCTCACAATGGAACCATAAGTGACACTTCTTGGCAGACCCAAAATATCTAGCAACGTACCATTCATTGTAAACGTACTCATGATTGACTTTTCTTCCACTTCCTTAGTGTAAAGTGTAATTTTATTTTTATTATCAATTTCACACGTCATTTTTGGAGCCATTTTTTCATTTATTTGCTCCACCAAATCTTTCTCGGTGGCGTAATATTTTGACTCGAGCATGGTAACTTGAAAACCCAAGTCCCCCAAAAATCCAATCTCCCCTGTCTCTGGATCAAGAGACGTTTTCTCCTCCACTATCCTGCATGCAGCATTGCGCATATTTAGTAATGTGCACGGCAAAATTAGTTCAAATAAAGCAACCTCCCATTGCCCTAAAAGCTCAAGTGTGCGGCCCAAATGCACTTTAAAATTTGAAGGTCTATTGCCATATTGAAATTCACAGCTAGAATCGCTGCTCACAGTGAGAAAAAACTGTTCTGAACTCATTATTTACCAAGTTCACTGGCAGAAATGTAACTATTGAATTTGTCACTGAAGCCTAGCCACTTGACCAATAACTTTTTATTTTTTCCACTTCCTTTTGAACCTAGGATTTTTTCAATTTTAAAACGAGTGTCTTTTGAAACGTCAACCTTTTGAACCTCCTCGCTATACCAAGAGCCCTCGACTGTTTCACCCTCCCAGTCCACTATCTCGTAAACGACTGGATCGTGATTTTTAATCTTCACTATTTTAAATATTTCATAATTCCAATTAGGTAGATATCCCTTGTGAAGGCGGTGTTTGGCCGCTGAAATTTTCACAAAGTCCCCTACTTTTAAATTTTTATTATTTTCACCAACATTTTTTAGTTTGCCGTAACGCCCCTCTCCTGCGTACAAAAAATCCCACACTTCCTTAATGTTGTGAGAATTAACAGCATTAGGGGCCATTCCAATCGCCGAGTGTGGGCTGTTATTGTAGGCAGTCACTATATCTTGTAGTACGTGCACATATTTTTGACTACCAGAGTGAGTAAAGTAACGATAAATCCTTTCTTTCAAAGTTCTAATGAATCTCTCCACAACAGCACACTTTGTCTCCTCATTATTTGTAACAATCTTTTTTACATTGTTCTCGGCCAGCAGTTTTTTTACTTCACTTCCAACAAATTCCTTGCCACGATCCGACCTGAACTTGAGAGGAAATTCAGATGTTTTGAAAATCTTTTTCAATGCATCAGCTACAGTGCTTGATTTCTTATTTTTAATAGCTTCGCACCATGCTTTTTTTGAGAAAACATCAATCACACATAAAATATAATTATACCCTGAATTGTGTGTGGAGACGTTTATCATGTCAGCCAAGTCTGCCTCAAAGTAAACTTTAACATTTGAAACAAGATAACGGCCTCTTTTAAATTTTCTTTTAATAGGTTTGTGCTGGGTGTACGCATCCTGACCGGTGAGCCATTTTTTAACTACATTTATTGGCAACTTTGATGCTTTTGCCAATTTGGCTACACTGCTAAAACCTGCCGGATTTGAAACATCAAAATAAATTTTGGACAAAATTTGATCAGGCGTCGGGGCCATCATATGACTCCCACTTTGTGTCACTGCGAGTAATGGGCTTTTTCTTGAGCTGTTTTCCATTAATATAGTTTTTTAATTTTTCATTGGCAATATAGCTCGCAGGAAGTTGAACGTTTTTCAACAATTCTGAAAACTCTGTCCAGCCTTTTGGCGGTACTGCCACGCGTTTTTTAAGCATGGCATCTATTAAATCTCTAGCTGCACCAATTTTTTTATTTGAAATTTTAAAAGTTCCATCGTCATCAATTTTCACTGAATTTACTCGTTCCAGTATTTTTAATATCAATTTTGCTTTTAAGTTTTTTGTTGTCGAACCCAAGTCACTCCAGCTACTACTTGGAGCAGCCTCTACTTTTATTTTGCTCTGGTCGACGGGAGGCGCCTCTTCATTTTCCTCATTGAAATCATTAATGTAAAGAGAAACATCTTTTTTAGATCTCTGTAATTTGGAAAAGTAACGCTGCAAGACTCTATCATACATAACCCATTTGTCAAACTCGCTGAGTTTTCGATCATTTAAAATACTGTTCATCTCCTCATCCATCTGATTGAACGAGCCGACGGGTGCGGGTGCTTGAGGCGTTTCAGTTTTAATTTGGTCCAACGCCTCGTGCGGCACCAAAATCATCTTTTTTCCATGCAACATTTCACGAAGTTAGTAAATCAGCCAGCACCGCAGATATAATAGGTTCCAGCAAAGGTAACAAAAAACCACCCTTTTGACGGACAAGACGTCTTTTTTTCGTTTTGAGAGAAGTTTTGTTGCAAGCAAGAGAGCGGACAATCTTTTTATGTGGAGCGAGCTTGCGCAACTGAACGGTTGATAGGGGCACGTTGCTTTTTAAAGTGTTTTGCGCGCACTCACAAATACATTTTATTAATTCGGGATTTGCATCATTTAAAATTTTTAAACGTTGTTTATTGCCTCCTTTTGCTAGCCGCCGGAGAACGGCAGCATGATCTTTCACTCTCTGACTCATGTTTAAAAATGTTCGTGAATTATTTATGCACCTCTATTTATTCAGAGATAAACTGCTGGCCAACTTTTTCGGGACGTAGCACTCATTTTTCTCTCCAGGAAAAATATCTGTTCTGAATCTGTACTCCTCGGGCGTGTTTTGTTTGAAATCACACAAAAGGTAGCCGTGCGCTCGAGAAGTTGCATCTCGAAACGCTTCAACTATAAACTTTGCATTTTCAGGATCGACCTGCCGCGCAAAATGACTTATTTGTGCTCGATCCCGTGGATTATTAAAAAACACCAGGTAATGCGAGTTCAAAGACATGTCGCGCTGCCCCTTGCCCTGATTAAAAATATTTTGAATCAAATTAAATATTGAAATGTTGCGGTGGTGCGACCCCTTTGTAAAATAATCTGATGTGTTTTTATTTGTTTGGCTCATAAGATCATCCAGCACAACTATTTTTGGGCCTGATGTTAAAGAAGTAATTTCGTCCAAATCAGGAATCCCTTCTACGAATCTCATAGGAGTTTTTATTTCATCCTGCAAACTCGAGTGCATTTTTTGTGAAATGCCATAACACCATATTATTTCTTCTATTTTTGTGTCCAGCATAACATCCAGTTTTTTTAAAAATTTTGTCACCCAAACGGTTTTACCGCAGCCGCTTGCGCCGCCGATCGTGCAATTAAATGGATGGGACCACGGAAGAGCCATTTTAATAATTAAACTTATTTCAACGAGCCACTCTCTTTTATAGCACGTACCGCGAGACCGGCCGCGCTCACTCTGTCAACCGAGAGCGCCTGCCGAGTCGTGCCCGTGACAAGAAACGCGCATTCTCTCCGCCGGCAGAGATCAGCCGCCGAGCAGACTCGCGCGCCGTTGAACGTAAATAATCAGACGACACTCTTCGGCAACCAGATTCGGCCGCCGAACGCACGCCGTCTGCCGAACACCTGCCCTAAATTCTCGCCAGGTAAAAACGCCGTGGTCAGTCGGTCGCGCTCCAACCCTTTCGACAACACTCGAAATAATTAGGCTCCACCCCCGCGCGGCCGGCCAGCCGGCCGCCCGCATCCCTCTCCAAAAAGCGTGGTGGTTATTCTCCGGTATAGTTGTTGTTTTACTTCCCTTATATACTACTGACCGGCGTGTCGGACAAAAAAGTACGAAGAAACAAAGCCGTGGAGGGGCATCTCTAATCCGCGGAGGATGTATGCTTTAATTAATTGTAATTACGGTTCGAATTAGACTTTTGTTGAGGAAAAAAAGCTCGCCGCCGATGATGATGCGAGATGAAGCGTGCAGGAGAAAAACACAAGGTCGCCGCTGCTTCTCATCAGATGCGTTTTTCCGGGGCAAAAAATTACCGCTCCGTTGCTGGAGAGACGTTGGCAAGGTGGGTTCGGTTGTTCACACCTTCGTTTATGTTCAGGCCTAGGCTTGATTGATTCGGAGTTAGGGGCCAGTTTTTTGTTGTGTGGGTTAAAAAGATTATTGTTTTAAAAGCAGAGATTCTAAAAGCGATTAAGTTATATGAAAATTAATTTTTTTAAATTGGTGCCATATTTAGGAGTGTAAAATAAAAGAAATAAAACGTCAACTAAAATAATTTTCACACTCAAAAGGAATCAAATCAGTCATAATTATTTATTTTAACAGAAATTATTTTATAAGCTACACAGGAAACTTTTGATTAGTCTAAAGATAATTATTTTCAGAATTAAGAATTTGAAAAAAAAACTCATTTTATTTCAAAATACTATTGTGGGTCGATATTGATGTTGAAATGTAAATTAACGAGTGATCAAGAACCATAAAAAATAAATATCATTTTATTGTTTAATTCTGAGTTTTTATTAGATGTTATTTTGCAGAATCCAAGGTTTGATCTTTTTCCCTTTACTTGGTGGAACAATTGGCCAAACGGCTGCGGAACAATTCCCCTGCACACACAATCTGATGAGTTACAGTTTCATTAAACAGTGACGGCGGCCGTGGTAGGAGGAAGGCTGCTGCTTTTTCTCTCTTCGCTCTTTCGATCTCTTTTTGTCAGAGGCGGCAGTGTCTGCACTCGCGCTCATGAAATACTCATCCATCAGATATGCC